ATTAACACAGGAGTTACCGATAGATCACTGTAGACCAGTAACACAGGAGTTACCGATAGATCACTGTAGACCAGTATTATTAACACAGGAGTTACCGATAGATCACTGTAATTCAGTATTATTAACACAGGAGTTACCAATAGATCATTGTAGACCAGTATCATTAACACAGGAGTTACCGATAGATCACTGTAGACCAGTAGCAGAGAAGTTACCGATAGATCACTGTAGACCAGTATTATTAACACAGGAGTTACCGATAGATCACTGTTGACCAGTAACACAGGAGTTACCGATAGATCACTGTAGACCAGTATTATTAACACAGGAGTTACCGATATATCACTGTAGACCAGTAACAGAGGAGTTACCGATAGATCACTGTAGACCAGTATTATTAACACAGGAGTTACCGATAGATCACTGTAGACCAGTAACACAGGAGTTACCGATAGATCACTGTAGACCAGTATTATTAACACAGGAGTTACCGATAGATCACTGTAGACCAGTATTATTAACACAGGAGTTACCGATAGATCACTGTAAACCAGTATTATTAACACAGGAGTTACCAATAGATCACTGTAGACCAGTAACACAGGAGTTACCGATAGATCACTGTAGACCAGTATTATTAACACAGGAGTTACCGATAGATCACTGTTGACCAGTAACACAGGAGTTACCGATAGATCACTGTAGACCAGTATTATTGACACAGGAGTTACCGATAGATCACTGTAGACCAGTGTTATTAACACAGGAGTTACCGATATATCACTGTAGACCAGTAACACAGGAGTTACCGATAGATCACTGTAGACCAGTGTTATTAAGACAGGAGTTACCGATAGATCACTATAGACCAGTATTATTAACACAGGAGTTACCGATAGATCACTGTAGACCAGTATTATTAACACAGGAGTTACCGACAGATCACTGTAGACCAGTGTTATTAACACAGGAGTTACCGATAGATCACTGTAGACCAGTATTATTAACACAGGAGTTACCGATAGATCACTGCAGACCAGTAACACAGGAGTTACCAATATATCACTGTAGTTGGAGCTATTGGACGTATTTTACCTCAAACTAAAAACTTCATTGAATATGTGTCGTGTGCAATGGCATGGATTTTTATACAAAATGTCACAAACTGCGTATTAAGTCTGATACTGTATCTACTGACTACATGTTTTAGAATGAAATGAGGTGAATTCGCCGGAAAATCTTTAAAAAACGTTTTGAATTTTTATAACGTAATCAATATTATAATGAGTTAAGTTCATGTTTAGAACCATCGCGTAATATATTTGCATCAAATTATTGAAATATATCAATTTTAAGACTTCTTACTTCATTTTCTAAATCTGAAGATATTGAGAAGTGTTACGGTCGTCATGGTAATCGCACTGAGAAATATTCTAGTTTCTTTTAACGATATGACGCTGGTCTTTTTTATGCTTGTTAGTACATCTGGTCGTTCTGATGCTCTTTACCTTGTCCTGACTTGAGAACGTAACATAACTTACTTGGATTGTCCAATGTTTACGTGGGGCGTCGTGAAAAAGCAGAAGACGCTTACGCTATCGGAACTCGTTGTATTTGAGAAGTTAAGATGATGGACTGGTGACGGAGGATATGACATCATAATTTCTTTACATACATCACCCATGTTTACGTTTAACATTGACTACGATATATTTAGTTTTCTTAAAGTCTTGGGTAGATTTCGGCAAAATTTGTCATGAAAAATAATAAAAAAAACAAACAAAAACAAATATGAAATATGTGAGTCCTGACTGAACGGGTCATTTTCCTTAAAAATTAAAACCTTACAGCAAGAGTGTCTTCATCTCAAAGAAGTGGAATTTTAGGTGACGATGGAAAAAAAATCAAAAGTGACTCTTTCATTATAAAGGCTATCCCTTGACATATTCCTATTAGAGCGGGAAAGCATATAAAAATAAATTTTAGAAAATTGTATTGAGTCATTATTATTTTTGGGTTGCTATGTATTTTGAGAAGATAAAAGTTAGTCTTGTGTATATTATTCTAATATATTTCAATAAAACATGTTGGAAGTTACACCAAAGAATGTCAGTTATTTAAAAAACAAATTATGTATTATATATTTCCTATTAACCATATTCTAAAGAAGAAGAACTACACCAACTTTTTAACTTTTAAAATATTTGAAATTTAGAATAGCGTACCGTGATACGTCAATCAGGCGCCTGTTACTAATTTAACCAATTGTGTTTACAAAATATGAAGATCAAATGTAATAAAAAATTTACTAGATAAAGATGTCTTAAATTAAAGTATAAAGCTACTGATCGTGCGATTCCTAAGACTGATCAATGATCAGGTTTAAATGTAGATAAAAGTAATATCGAGTTATTCACGCAAAACCCGTACAAAGAACTGTAACTCCTAAGATTAGGTACAATTTTTTGTATTGATTCAGAATATCATTCTCAATTTGAACTGGTAGTACAAGATTAATTCCTAGTTGGTCGTCCTCTTGGGAAGAATACGCGGACAGAGGAGCTTAATTGGTATTCAGTTTTTTTTCTCTTGAACAATTAAGAGATATTTTGAGCGAACATAGCGCGCGCCTGCTTACACCACATACATCACATGGCTATCACATGGCTATCACATGTCTATCACATGGCTATCACATGTCTATCACATGGCTATCACATGGCTATCACTTGTCTATCACATGGATATCACATGGCTATCACATGGATATCACTTGGCTATCACATGGCTATCACATGGATATCACATGGCTATCACATGGCTATCACATGGATATCACATGGATATCACATGGCTATCACATGGCTATCACATGGCTATCACATGGATATCACATGGCTATCACATGGATATCACATGGCTATCACATGGATATCACATGGCTATCACATAAATTCATGTCAAAACACGTAGATACCTTACTGTGTACATGTACCTTGGTAAGTAGTCAGGTGTCCCCGATTTTTGACTTCTTGACCGCTGGAATGTCTCCCGCGATATACTACCCACATAGGATTTTAAGTGTTTTTTTTTCTTTTACGTTTTGACGTGATTCTAGGTTTTAACATTTGAAGTCCTTTAGTTTGAGCCTCTGAAGAATGGCAGGACGTGAAACATGTCAACAGAGAGAAAAGTCTCCTTATCCAATTCTCAAACATTTGGTGTATAATAGAAATTTAAAAAACTAAGTAAGAAGAAATGGAATGTTTTCATCTTTCATTGACAGTTCAATTTTGAGCACATTTCTTTATCATGCGTGATGTGATTTTGAATAAATACACACCTTGAATACCCTAAAAAGGTTATTTGTGTATGAAAACTACGGTTTTAAATTTGTCAGCAGAAGGAAACAAACGATCTTTAACATTCAATTTCTCTGACCATTTTATACTGGAACAAATTACCACCGTACACTACACTTACAGATATAAAACACTGTCGCTACCGTACACTACGTGACGAGAATTGTATAAGACTCCTTGGCACTGCTACGCCATATGGCTGCAATGACCGTGTTCTGGATGCAGTAACATTAACGTTGTGGCTTTATTCACTCATCAGTTAAATGTTATCTGAGTCAGCGGCATTACAATAAATCTAGCCGATATAACGTCACGTTTGAAGACCAAATGAAGAGTTCACAAAAACCATTAGTCGCTTCCTCTTTCTGCATAACATACACTTCAAAGTGATTCAGCTTTATTGCTAACGGTGACCTATGGAAACTAACTTGAAGACTATACAATTACTGATGATATGGGAAAATTAGGTTTTTAAACTGTTCACACGGAAACTCGCGACTTTATCCAGCATAATCATAAATGTCTGTGTTTCTACCATGGAAGTTTTTATATACTGACATAGAACTTGAAACCTTATCCAACATAATCATCAGTGTGTGAAGTCAAAAGTCGTTTACGTGAATAAAAAAGGCTTACCCTTTCCTGAATTTTTACACGCGCTGTTCGCATGGACCGACTTACTCGCGTGTGGTATCTTTAGACAAAATTATCAGAATAAACAAGATTTGTTTATGAAACGCTATGCCCCAGGTTGCAACAAAATTCTGAAGTGGGACATTAAAATTGTGCTTTGTAAGGCATGTGCTTACTGCATGCAAACTTTGTGATACACCTAAGTCTTCATTGTGGTATAATGTGACACTTATAGTTCAATATTTATTTCCAATGTTTATTTTCAAATGTAGGTCAAAGGTCATGGTCCTTTCGATGATATATAATTAACACCACATTATTTTGAAGATGCAGTTCGTTAATAGAATAACACATTTTTCTTTGTTTTCAAATAGAAAGATTTATGTATGATGATCATTGCTGATAACAGGTCACAATTGAAATAAATGCACAGCTCTAGTACGGTTTATCATAATCACACATCTTACATATAGACTTATATCACAGCTAATAAGTTAGTCATACGTAAATCATTGGTGAAATTCTACAAAGGAAACATTTCAGCATGCAGATATTGTACAAAACACTTTCCTACATTGCAAAATGTTACAATTTAAACTTTTATAGTGATATTCAACGATCCATTTTAAAAGAAAAAAAAATAACAGATTTAAACCTTATTGTGAAGTTGGTAATTCAGACATTCTTTCATAATGGAATATCGCATTCAAAATCCAGATTTATTTTTTCACAGTAAAAATTATGGAGAAGTGGAAATCTAGATTTAGAAAGAAAACAAAAGGATTGACAAATTATACGTCAATCAAATGGTATAATTTTAATGTAATAACAACACAAATCTCGCCGTTTGTTTAGAAGTAAACATTTGACCTTTTACACATTTAATCTATTTACAGTAAAGGTCAAGTCTAATTAAATCCATTCAAAACTTCTACAGCGATAATTGGAAAAAATCATGACATTCATTCTTTACGAAGACCCATAGATAAACCATGAAAGTCAACAATGGACAGGCGTTTAAAAGACATTCTCGACATTCCCGACATTCTTAACATTCTCGACGTTTTCCAAATTTTTGACATTCTGGACATTCCTAACATATTGGACATAACCGACATTCACCACATTCTTGACACTCCCGACAATCTTGACATTCTCGATATACTCGACATTCTTGACATTCCCTACATTCCCGACATTCTCGACACTCTCGACATTCCCGACATTCCTGACATTCTCGACATTCTTGACATTCTTGACATTTTTAACATTCTCGATATTCTCAACATTCTCGACATTTTCGACATTTTTGACATTTTCAGTATTCTCGACATTCCCGACATTCGTGACATTCTTGACATTCCCGACATTCTCGATATTTTCAACATTCCGGACATTCTTGACATTCTCGACATTCCCGACATTCTTGACATTCTACACTTTCTCGACATTTTCCACATTTCAGGCATAACAAATGAAATTTAACTTTAAGACAGAACAGTCAAAACGGAATCTCAATGTTCTTGACACATCCAAACACACAATCTAATGATGAGTATCGACAGTTCGTAAACATCGACTTAAAACGGATGAGAGAATATCCACAATGATTTAGTGTGACATGCATTGTTTTGTAATATACATGTAAACAACAAATACGTGATTATCTACGCATTTACAAACAAACGACGTTAATTTGGTGAACACTGAAAAACTACATATTCAGGAATTGTATTTCGAGCGACAATCTTATATCGTTACGCCAACAAAAATCGTCTAGCAATGGTATATCTTGTCAATTTAATTGTGAACGTTTAGCACTCGAATATATGAATTTAATACTTATTTACATGTCTTGTTTACGTTGCTGCTTATCTGATCGATTGCTTACCGTTTTGAACTATACAGTTTTTCACAATCAGAATCACACCAACTTTGATAACGTACCGTCACTGTGTCTCTGACAACAGTATTCACGTCACAACGGCCACATGGTATATAATTTGCATTCTTTTAAATCCATATCTTTCGGATATGTTTATATTGTGCTATTTTAGCACTGATGAGCGAAAGTAATTTCTTATTTATCTAAATGGTTAACAAGTGGGTATAGCAGCCCCCTCGTCTCTATTCATTACTACATACAAAAATTTCAACAAAAGATAAAACAGAACTGAAGTTATTGTGTACACTCAAAGATTGAAATAAAAATCATTACAGCAATAACAGTCGCCTAGACGAAAACATTTCATTTTATCAACATTACTTACAGGTAACTTGGGATAGTTACGCAATTGTTGTACGAGATATTAAATGACGGAATTATATACCTTTGGTAAAATGGACGATTGATTGCATTGCTGTTTCCTTGTATAAGTGGTTCTCTTCCAATTAGAAAGAGAAGCGTGGTATTGCCCACATTCCTGAGACAAATAAAACGTGTCTGAAAATGAGTTCTGTATGCATGTTATAAACTTTGTATGACTAGAAGTTGTGTGAAAGTCGAGGGAAAAAACATCAGTAGTATATATTTATTCTATAAGATTATGTTTATTTACCAATACAGTATCTGTTTGATACCCTTCACTGGACTCAAATTACATTTTACAAATATCCTGAGATTAAGTGATAAAATTATAGGATAATCCAGGGGTGTTGTTGGAGCGCAGTCCACTCTCAGCAGCTGACAAGCTTATCACTACATTCAAACTGTGGAACGAAGGGAAGTAACTCTGGAAGATCAGATTGGAGTCTGGAATGTGACTCTATTCTTTCTCATGAACTGTGAAGGACTTAGTAAGATTAGCGCAGTAGTCACTGCTGTCTGCTCGTTTTGCATAAAATACCTATGTTTATTTTTATCTATCGGAAGTGGATAGTCTGCACAAGTGAGGTATTCATATGATACTTTCATAAAAATAATCACAAAATAATCTTTTTATGTTCTTATTGGTATAGAACGCCTTAATTCACCATATAAACTTACGATATTTTATTTATGTTGATTCTACACAGATCTACCATGATCGGCATTATGGCCAACATTAGCTTGGTCACATCATGAACGCTTTTTATTAGACGAACAGAGTGAAATATTTATACACATTGTATCTTAAAATTGATGAGAAATACGCCAAACAAACAATGGAATTCCGATGTCCGATTGCCAATACTTCACCTACAATTTTTGCTGCAGTCAGTCAGTGATTTCCGGATTCCCCAATATGCTAGGCGGTGGTATTTCCAACCGATTTCGTCTGTACAAGCTGATCTCAGAAAATATATTTGGATGCTGACAATAGTTTCACAAGTCAGTGGAAGGAGTTCTAAAAAGGTACAGAACAGCCAGAAATTGTGAAGAACATCCATTCAAATTATGCATATATATATATTGATATCGGCAACGAAGCGCGTATTGGTTGTTACAGTCACTGGCAAAGGAAGAAAATGATCGAAATGCACGTGCGATTGTATTGTCCTTATTCCTAAAATGTGGTGATAATAATTGTAGTGAAATACAGAAATACAAGATATCTTAAATGTTTGATAAAATTCACCTCTTTTAACATCAATCGAGGTTCCAACTTCTTACTATCCTAAGGGTACCCCTGATTTATATTTATCTCCCTGATTTATCTCCCTTAATGCCAAATTACAGTGTTAAATATATACAATAAAATATTGATATATCACAAAACAACAATAATAAATTAACGCTGCATATTCTAGTACCATAGCTATTTAAGATTGTCAATATTCTATCATACTACTTCAACATCACAAAGGTCAGTTTTATTGGTGACGTCAACATTTTTATATTTCTTAAAAAAATCCTCAGTATCGCACATGTCTTCTATATTCATCGTTGCTTCTCTTCTTATTTTTCTTCCGCGATCATCATCAGAATCATCGTCGGTTTCATCTTTTCCTTGTATCGACCCTGATTCTCGATTTGTCTCTAACGAAACTTCGTCAGATTTGTCACTTTCCTGTGACTGGTATCCAACATCTTCTTTCGAACTTTCGTCTCTTTCAAAGAAATTATTCATTAGTATACCATTTTGTGTTGGCATAATTCCGTCCGCTTTTGTATCTATATCTCCATTTTCGCTTTTGTTAAATGACCGAGTTTCATCGACAATTTCTTTTTCACGTTCATCGTTTTCACTACATTTACTTCCGTTGCCCAAATTCTCACTTTCAAAATTTGTACTATTGGAATTATCATCAGCTACACTAATCGTCAAACTATCTTTTATCACATCCACATTTCCTAACACTTCCGGGTGTGTTGATTCAGTACATTCATTAACATCAACAACATTTTCCGTATAATTGAAAATTTCCCTCTCCGTCAATCGTCTCATTTGAACACCGTTTATATTACGTGAATCTATATCCGGTGTGCTATTGAACTCACTTCCGTCGTCGGCAAATTTGCCCTTAACGTTTTCATTCTCACTATCAGAAGATGACTTGTATACAAGTAATGCAAAAAGGAGGAAAAGAAGGGACAATGCTTTCCCCACTACGGTGATAGCAAGGAAATGGTAGCTGAGTTTCTCATTATCGTAGAGAATACAGGAGCCCTCATCTCCACAATCATCCTGCCAGTACACGCAGGCCATGTCTATCAGCTTCCCGAAAAGGATTGGTCCAGGAATAAATCCTGAAAATAGAATTCGAATGTTGGTAAATCAACTTTAGCCGAAAAATATTCATGAATGTACACATGAATTCAAATGTACTATGAGTTAGGCAGTGCCTGGAAAGAGTTAAGCTTATAAACCACAATGATATTCATTTGAAGAAAATGTCAAGACAAATTGAAATACACAGAAATGTTGGAAAGTTATCAATATGAAGATAATTTTACGCGCGACAGCAAGTGATCAGTCGAGCAGTAATTGTGACGTTGACGTTTTGTGTTCTTGTGTATATACTGTGACGTCATGGCACTGGTTGGCGTTCCACGCCGGGTACTTCGAGGAATAAAAACATTCTAATTCGTGCCAATTCCATTCGTGTAAAATCATCTTTATGTCAATAAGAATTAAAAGTAGGTTAAACGACTTTAGGAAAGCGAACCTGTTGATACAGTACTTTCTATTAACGTTAAATTCGGGTAGTACAAAGTCCCTATGTCTATATGTTTTTCACGTCCTAAAAAGAGTTTTTTTCAGTTGGATTTTTTTTTTTTTGTATACGAACTTCTAACGGTATAGACTTTCACTTCTGCGTCTTTGACCTCTAAAGAGCTTCGCTTTTATCAGAAATTTTAAAAAATGATGACATTGAATTGTATAAAATTTTATACTGATGGTTTACATCGTTCCAGGGCGTTAGAATTGTACCTACTGATATCAGCAGTCGTGATTAAACATGGAATCTTTACGCGTTCTCTCTTGCTGATGTCACCGTTGAGTCATGACACGGCCTCCCTTTAGGCCTAAGTGTTGAGCGAAAGACGCCTAAGTCAGGGAGGCAATGGATTCTATCCGCAAACCGTGACATTCTAACGACTTAGACCTGGCTAACCTTATGAATATACTACAAAATATTTGTGAAAAGTTTCTTCTTGCATTCTTCTTGTAGCTCAGTATTATATGGAACGTACAACTTTAACGACTGATATGTTAATCAGTTTGATGTGATCGGTTCATGTGTCATCCTAACATGCCCAGGTTTGACGACACTATAAAAGTGTCCCTGTAGTAAGTACAATGTGATCGGGCGGTCTGTCATGCTTCCTTCTCCAGGGTAGAACATTTCAGTATGACGACACTATAAAAGTGTCCCTGTAGTAAGTTTAAGGTGATCAGGCGGGTTGTCTTGCTTCCTTCTCCAGGGTATGACATTTCAGTATGATGACACTTTAAAAGTGTCCTTGTAGTCAGTGTAATGTGACCGTTAGGTTTCTTGCTACCGTGTCTTGATTAAGATCATATATCTATATTGAATAAACACTGAATTACACTTTATGCAAAGTTAAGATTTGTTAAACATGAAATAGTTATATCCATCGAGAACAGATTACGTAATGTTTTCCCGTCTCGGCAAATTCTTCCTTTAACTTCAAAAACTGAGATATTACCAGAATTAGGAACTGCAATGGTCGTTGGAAAAAAATAGAAATTTGCAACTTTGAAATACGTGACGCACAAGGTATAAGTAACCGCTGGCAAAAGTCACTCCCCAACCACACAAAACCTCTCATATAAACAATAAAACGAAATTAAAAATCAAAATTAGTATTATCACTATTCCTGAACGGCACAAACATTATCTATAAGCTTTAGGCAATCAATTATCCTCAACTAAATTGTAAGCTTTCGAGTAACTGTTACTTTGATCCTCAACTGATGAATATAATAATAAAACTCTAGCTGATATCACAGATCCTACGTCAACACGGTCATTATTTTAATCAAATGAAGAGAAAGTGGTAAATTGACACAACGGAACTAACACAAAAAAGGAGTCGGGATTGTATCATTCAAAACAGTACATAGATGTTTTGTTTTATAAAGTCTGGCGTCATCATTAAGCTAGTCATAAGAGGACAGGTGCCCTCTCTATCACAAAAAATGGAGAGGCAAGCAGACAAGGAATATAACTAGTGCGCCAAGTTCTGCGATTGTAATGGGGAGCAGGTTATCTTGGGTAAACCACTCGGTAGCTGGCAAGGAAACTTCTGGATTCTTTGAAAATTCACTTTAAGTATCCCTTCATCCCCCGACCTTACCCCCGCGATCATGTTGTGAAATACAGCAGGCTCTATTCCTGGACTCTCCGATGTCCGAAAAAAGGAGAAAACATTTTCGACCTGTAATTATGCTCCACATTAGTCGCCTCTTTCGACAGGTACTGGGACAGCAGAAATGAGAAATATTTTTCCTATGCACGGGTTATGAAGCTGTACTATGATAAAATTAATAAAATTAAACAGTATAATGTATGATGAAAAAGACAACGGTATACCTACCTAAACACTTGGCTACTACCCACTGTATACCGAGACCGAATGTCCGTTGTCTCGTCGGTATGCATCTGAAAGTAAACACAATGAGTATTGATAGAAGTGTCGTCTGTTGTCATGGTAACTATTTATTATCCCATCTCTGTATTGATATAGAGGAACTGAATTAAACAACAAAGAAAATATCGACATGTCAACTAAATCCAGTGCAAATCTAAATTCATTGAATCTAGGGCAAATAAAAACAAAAGTAAGATTTACAAGGAGACATACGATACCTGCTACGTAAATCTTAACCAATCCAATACAGCAATACCACGTTTCCAAATGAGAACGAGTTAAACAAAGAAATAGAATATTCCAAAATTCGGTCTGTATGACGACCGTAAAACTACCCAATAAGCTTTAGTCTGCATCTCACGAAACACCGTCAGCTGCCGACATCATGTATGAAAATTGTAATATTGGCAACAGGCCATAGAATATCGAATCAACTGCGACATACAAACACAATAGGTTAAAAATGACAAAGAAAACACTACATTGTCATTATCTTACTAACACAGTAACTATCTACATCGGAAATACGAAGTGTTAGTTTTTATTGAAATCGCTTTACAAATTCAAAACGTAAACTTTTTTTTAAAGAAATCTCTTTACAAATTGAAAATGTAAATTTTTTTTATAAATCTCTTTACAAACTAAAAACGTAAACTTTTTTTTAAAAAATCTCTTTACAAATTGAAAATGTAAACTTTTTTTTTTAAATTTCTTCACAAACTAAAAACGCAAACATGTTGAATTCTTTACAAAATGGAAAAAAAGAAGTGATTTGATAACTGTACCACTTAAGTAATATGACAATCATGTAAAAAATCTATTAATAAACAAAATATTTCAAACACACAACATCGAATTCGAACTGAACTATCAATCACAAAATTGTTTTATTTTCGGAAACAAGCCAAAATATTTAACTATTGATAACTGGAAAACATTTGATTTTTACAGAAACTTACTCAAGTTTTTTTGTTTAAATCTAAAACAGTACAATTAGCGAGAATATGTGGGACGCACAACACTATGTCACTACATGAACACTATAGTTTCAATGTCCATCCGCACTTTGTTGTATTGACAATTTCAAAAATATGTTAGTACATGTGATGAAATGTTAAAATTCATGGTTATGAATAAAATTCCAGATAATATAAATATGTTTCATAGATCGGAACTCAATTGTTCACTGGTAGTCCGCTTCGAGTTCCATTAAAAATATTCCTATCAAACATATCCTCAGACATCAGAAAGACGTCCTACTTTGTAATGGTTTAATGGGATCGAAACATTTCCAATAGCATCGTGTTTTGTATTTATAACATTTCGGAAATCAGAACATTGAATTCATCCATATCTGTTTATCCTGGGGTTCGATTGTTACAGAATGAAAAGCAGAAACTGAGTGACTTGAAAGAATTGAAGAACATTAACAGGCCATTCCATCAAGTACTATCGTGTTTAATTGCAATAACTCGAAAGACCAACATAATTGATTTCTGTCATGCACGATTAGAAATGGTCCCAAGTGGGAAGTAAAAAACTGGTGTGTAATATACAAATAAAACTCGCGTGTCTACAGTTTTGATAGTTAGCTCTGGAAACGACCGCCTTTTGTGTTGAATGCTTTAAAAATTTCTAGTTATATGATATAGTCTGACACTCTCAACTCGCGCTATAACAACTACTGGTTATGACCAGAGGTGTGTGGTTCTCCAGATCAGGGGTGCGTGGTTCGAACTAGAATTGGGACAGTTTCTATTTCTGAATAAGACAGCATAATCAACCGTCATGGGATCTTGTTGTTGTTTCTTACTGTTTAACAATTCTTTTATTCCCAGAAAAAGATACGCCGATATAACATACAACAGGAAGACTCTCTTACTTCATATCACTTACACCAGAATTACACACACTCGCTTATAATATTCACATTACAAATTATTTTTAAAAAAGGAGGAAGATGACCTAAAGAAAATAAGGGACGAAAGCTAAAGAAATAAATAATGAACGGATTTTTTTTTAACCCGTTCAGTATTAAACATAAAATTTCCTTGTAATACTATTTGCCCCAATTAATTTGGATACTATGTTGTCTATCTCTCGCTTTATGTTCAGTGAAGTCACACTACCTGTTTATGGGTTTATAGCTAAATAGCTAAGCAAAACACCAACAAAATTACAGCAAAGAAACGACCGGGAAGTACCGAAGAGTAACGGGCTGTGACGTAAGCAGTCAACATCGAGATGTTGACCGGTAACCATGGTTCTAAGCAAAAACATCTGGAATTTCACACTTAATTCACTATAGAAAATTATAAAGAATAGATAAGTAAAGTATAACAAAATCCTTTGTACACTGAGGTCGAGTGTGACGAAATGGTAAACAGATTAAAGATATATATATATAAAAAAGGTAACAATGTTATGTAGTCAATGAGGCGACGTTTATCTAATGGTCATGTACTAATCTATTAACATTACCAGCCTGAAGAAAATATTCTAAAATATGCAATAGAGATAGATTGACGTCACAGCTGTATGACGTCATACGTACCTGAGGGAAGCAGTGAGGGAAGGCATCGTCATACAGAAGGAGAAGAACATGTTGAGTACGATAAAAACGACGTAAACAGGAAGGTAATGACACGAGCTTTCGCACGTGCCTAACGTAGCGTCAACACTCCCCGCAACGTTACCCACACAGCTACAGTTATAAAACTCCTTCAAACAAACAAACAAAAAATCAATAAAGATTGAGAACAGATTTAAATTCTGACGATCTTTGCCTCACGATATCTTTATGTGTTACACTGTTTACATGTGATGAACTATTTTTCTGTCAATCGCGATTATTGGAATCGAAAATTCAACAACTCAAACAGTGCGAACTTGAGCAAGAATAGCTTTTCAGCTGTACATTTCACAAAACAACTCTATATTTTAGAAAAGCTATTCAGCTTCCATGTTATAATCTTTATGTCTTCACACAATTTCGATATCCAAGGGCGGTATACACTATGTACACCTCGGTTCATCTGTACTTCAGAAATTTTGCTCGCGTGACAACGACATAATGTATTTTATTGGAAATGCCACCAGAACACAAATACCACTATCTAAATTGTCACACGCACAAAAGATTTATCATCAACACTTAGCATTAGAAGTTTTCAAAACCGGAAAAGAGTTTCATTACCCAGGGTTCCGTATATTGGGACACAACTGTACATCCGGCGAAGCAGGGTGAGAAGTAGGTGATTCCGTCTTTGCCACAGACAGGATTCAAATTGTCCCTAACACAGTTACAGGTACCGTGACAACTGTCGTTCCTAAACGTCCCCGAGAACACGATAGTACTGTCGACACAATAATAATGTTTATGTATCACTAGTAACAACACACATCATCATATATTTTAGGTAACACATTTTAACATTTCATCAACTATAAAACATTTACTTGTCAATTCTCACAATTTTATGGGAGTAATTTTGATATTTTTTGTTCCAAATTGCTATTTCTCGATTTCTATATTTGTTTTAAACTTTTCCTCCAAAATGAAAACAACAAAAGTAATACCGTCAGTAAATTCGCATCAAAATCAATCAATAAGATGTAAAGTTGGACATGTTGAATTCTCATTAGTAATACATGTAGTGCCGTTGTTGTATACCCTTGTTCTTATTTTGGAAACATGACATCATTTATTTGGATTGACCAAAATTTCAAATGGCAGGTGTTGTCGATGAATCTTACCCCCATGTAATTTTGCAGGAGTTCGGTGAAAACTTTCTTCCGTTCAATTTTTTCACTAGTTTTACTGAATATGGATTTGAATTGATTTTACTGATGTGTCGGTATTGTTTTGTTGATACCGATACATACAAACCTTTTTGTTAAATCTCCATATGCTACATTAATGCCAGCGAAAGGCACTCTGGAGCAATTGGCTATAAAAATGAGCGAAGAAAGCAAAGCCATTCCGAGTAGCACTAAACTGAGTTTTAGGATTCCTCGGATTTGTAGGTTGAATCTCTCCACTATATATCCCCCTAGAAATGTTCCTCCCGCTCCGGCACATATAGCTGAAGCACCTGTTACAAGGAATAAAAACATCCACCTCCGTTTAGAATTTTTGTTAGTATGTGCTTAAATCTGTGTGTATGAGAAATCCGATCTGATTTTCTAGTATGAGCTGGGCTGATTCTACCTTAAGGACACATGTCTGTAATGTCTGTAACATGTCATTGGTTTAATCTGCTAAACGTATTTACTGGAATCGGTAAAACATGGGGTAGTCAGATGTTGAAATGGTAACACCCTTTACCTTAAAGTCACCTGTCATATGTATTTTCTATAGTTTCTCGGACAATATCTTTACAACTGATTATAGTACGTTTATGTGATGTATTCTTTCATTGTAGCATTTGTACGTTTAGAAGCAATGATATATTGTTAGAAATCACTGTGTAAATTGTACTTATTGTTTCTTTTATAAATGTAGACGTATTGTGCAAATATTGTACAAAAGACACATAATGATTTAGAGTTAGATACAGTAGGGCCAAACAATGAAATAAACTGTATCATACAGCTGTTTCGTCCTTCTAGGACTCGTCAGTGATGTTACATCATACAGCTGTTTGGTCCTTCTAGGACTCGTCAGTGATGTTACATCATACAGTTGTTTGGTCCTTCTAGGACTCGTCAGTGATGTTACGTCATACAGCTGTTTCGTCCTTCTAGGACTCGTCAGTAATGCTACATCATACAGTTGTTTGGTCCTTCTAGGACTCGTCAGTGATGTTACATCATACACCTGTTTTGTCCTTCTAGGACTCGTCAGTGATGTTACACCATACAGCTGTTTCGTCCTTCTAGGACTCGTCAGTGATGCTACATCATACAGCTGTTTCGTCCTTCTAGGACTCGTCAGTGATGTTACATTATACAGTTGTTTCGTCCTTCTAGGACTCGTCAGTGATGTTACATCATACAGCTGTTCTGTCCTTCTAGGACTCGTCAGTGATTTTACATCATACAGCTGTCCCGTCCTTCTAGGACTCGTCAGTGATGCTACATCATACAGCTGTTTGTCCTTCTAGGACTCGTCAGTGATGCTACATCATACAGCTATTTCGTCCTTCTAGGTCTCGTCAGTGATGCTATATCATACAGCTATTTCGTCCTCCTAGGACTTATAAGGGATGTTACATCATACAGCTAGTTTGTCCTTCAAGGACTCGTCAGTGATGCTACATCATACAGCTATTTCGTCCTTCAAGGACTCGTCAGTGATGTTAAAGGCCTAAATTTTTAAGCCGATGTGGCGACAGAGAAAAATCCAGAGTGATCAAAAGAAAAAGAAAATTTTATACAGGTAGGTGCAGCAGCCCAGTAAAAACGCCTTTATAAAACAACACAATCACACTTACGTTAATAGCAATTAGTTTTAATGATACATTCCGATTAACATTTCCTTTCCTTTTATAAAATGACAGGATTAAGCTTACCGACGTAGAGAGCTGCTGCCGACGATGATAATCCAAACTGGATTTCAAAGAATTTGGGTAAAAATGTGGCGAAACCAGCTAACAGAAAACCTGGAAAAGACAGACATACTTAACGGAGGTACAATGTACAGGTTGTGTAAACTATCCAAAGAAAAATTCAGTAACATTTTGAGACGACTCCGTGATAAACCCCCTATTTCCATTGATAACATGTTCATATGATCCCTACATTAAATGATATATTAAGATGAACCCTCATCTCACACGTTGCAACCATTTTGCTTTTCATATGGTAAATGTACCTTGAGACGTGTCAGTGTCATCCGTTTGTAAAGTTAAAGGTAGTCTTTGTCAAAGATGGTATTTACAACATGGGATTTCGTTATCAATTATATTTCTCATGCTCTGCGTGCCAATACATGTACAAAAATACTTTTAAAGATGAGAGAATATATAAAATGATATTATTTTGCATGACTGATATAAAGTTTTGAATCTGAAACGAAAGGAAAACATAAATTCGTGAAGCAAAAGCAAATCTTGCACCAAAGAATATTAACTGTTGTGACCAAGCCTTCCAAAAAGGGTTAATCCACAACTTGTAACCACGCCTTCTGAAAAAGTTCCGTACAAAACTTGTAACCACAACTTCTGAAAAAGTTCCGTACAAAACTTGTAACCACAACTTCTGAAAAAGTCCCGTACACAACTTGTAACCACAACTTCTGAAAAAGTTCCGTACAAAACTTGTAACCACGCCTTCTGAAAAAGTTCCGTACAAAACTTGTAACCACAACTTCTGAAAGAGTCCCGTTCAAAACTTGTAACCGCGCATTCTGAAAAGGCCCGTACACAACTTGTAACCACGCATTCTGAAAAAGGCCGTACACAACTTGTAACCACACCTTCTGAAAAACGCCCGTACACAACTTGTAACCACACCTTCTGAAAAAGGTCCGTACACATCTTGTAACCGCGCATTCTGAAAAAGTCCAGTACACAACTTGTAACCACGCATTCTGAAAAAGGCCCGTACACAACTTGTAACCGCGCATTCTGAAAAAGTCCAGTACACGACTTGTAACCACGCATTCTGAAAAAGGCTCGTACACAACTTGTAACCGCGCATTCTGAAAAAGTCCAGTACACAACTTACAAGCACACCTTCTGAAAAAGGCCAGTACACAACTTGTAACCGCGCCTTCTGAAAAAGGCCCGTACACAACTTGTAACCACGCATTCTGAAAAAGTCCAGTACACAACTTACAAGCACACCTTCTGAAAAAGGCCCGTACACAACTTGTAACCGCGCCTTCTGAAAAAGGCCCGTACACAACTTGTAACCACGCATTCTGAAAAAGGCCCGTACACAACTTGTAACCATACCTTCTGAAAAAGGCCCGTACACAACTTGTAACCGCGCATTCTGAAAAAGGCCCCTACACAACTTGTAACCACGCATTCTGAAAAAGGCCCGTACACAACTTGTAACCACGCATTCTGAAAAAGGCCCGTACACAACTTGTAACCACGCCTTCTGAAAAAGTCCCGTACACAACTTGTAACCGCGCATTCTGAAAAAAGGCTCGTACACAACTTGTAAACTCGCCAATATCGCCATATTTTTACTAATGGAATGACTAGGCCTTAAATATATTATACATTTACCTCTCTAATTATGCATAATTATGACTTCATAAAGATGCTTATAATCAGCATGACGTCACAGTATACGTACCACTGGTGATTGTGACGAATAACATGCACACATACATGGGGTTCAGGAAGAGGATTTTCAGAGACTGTCGGAGATTCCTTAAATCCATCTTTTTCCCTTTGGTACTGCTTTCTGTGTTTTCTTCCGTCTCTCCATTGGCATACACTTCTTTGTCCTTTTCATGTTTAAATTTCGCTGAATCTGAATCATCAAACCGTGACCATCGGACACTGGTATTTATGAACTCATATACTGAAGACTTGTGTACTTTGATCAAAACGAGAATAGATATATATATATAGGTTCACACAAACTAAATACGAGATATTTTATAGTGTCTCTGAAGCTTACTGTACAGAGTGCAATCAAGAATGGGCTTCAGACCATTTTCCCCAACAACATTGGCTAGAGACGCTATGATGGCGCGGGGGGTTGGGTGGGTGGGTGGGGGGTGTAACGGGGGGGGGGGGGGGGGGGGGGGGTAGGGGTAGGGGGGGACAGGGGATTGTGTTGGGTTAGCTACCTTCCTGGGGTTTCTACAGAAAAACGAAAACATGTTTTTTTAGTGGCGTAGCACTAAAGGATATACGGAGTTCATTTTCCCATTTGTGAAATGAACGTTCTGTTTTTGAACCAAATGCCAGTATTCTACCGTGTATTACATATCTTTTATAATCATGATATTAACTGTACATAAGTTTGGTCTTGATTTGTTAGGTCGCTTTCTAGGTCTCAAATTTGAAGTCCTTAACATCGCTGACGAGTCCATGACTGACACAGAACAGTGTAAGTCTTTATTCGACTCTACTATGATGTTATTCACTTGTGTGTCTTTTGTAAAATATTTGTATTACGCTGAGTTGTTGATAAAGATTTATGATTTTACACTTACAAAGGCGAGTATAAATGAGACCACAATATCTGTTCCACGTTAATGGGCATTCATGGAATATCACTCGGATGCTAAATGTCGTTATTCTCTGTAACTTGAGTGACCTACTGAGGTTTAGCAGGCATTTGTCCGATAATAAACTGGGCAGTACATACTTACCAGGTAAAGATTTAGGAAAACCCGCCAGTGGGATGGACACAATGATAGCAAGTACCCCGCCTATCAGGTAACCAATCCACCACGCACCAACATACTGTGAGCTGTTAGGATTGGCGTTCACTCTGAAAATAGGAAACAAATTTCCGATCATATTTTTGTCGGAAAGTGTTTGATCAAACTTCAATCTGAAAACAGAAAAAAATGTGTTGTCAGTGATGTAAGGTTGTATGGATCTAACGAGCCCCTGAACCTGCAGCTCTAATCAAATTAATTATCGATCTTTTATTTTTACAGAAAAATAAAAGAAAAAGATCACGGCAATGAAGCTTTAACCAAGATAAACAAAGTTTGATTTCAATATAGGAATGGAAATGTACAACAGCAGCGGGCACGATGACCAGGTATTACATAGCGATGTCGTCGATGAAACAGAAAAACGCTGACCTTTTCGAAACGCAAGGTCTTATTTCCGTAAATCCTTTTTGGGTAAATCTTTCTTTTGTTCATTTGTTGCTCCAGTGTCATCGAATTTGAATTCGAATTAAGACTTCATTGGCATGTCTGTTTTTGAGATGTTTGATATGGCGGGTGTCGTCGATAAAGCATAAGACGCTTACTATTCCGGGACACCTGGTCTTAGTTTGTCCAAGTTTTATTGACTATGGATTTTAATTATGATTATATTGACTTGTTGGTGTTTTATTTTTACGTCCCGCCTCCAAACGCTGATAAGTACATCACGTGATAATAGAGATTAAAACAAAATAAGACAAAAGCGATTTCACGCTAAAATGTTTTTTTAGACGTGATTTGTAACCCTTACGTTTCTTGGGTCAACACTACTTCTCCAAAAGGAATGCAAGAAATCTGACTGCATTTTTTAGAGTCATAATTCAATAGAGGTCAATTGTTTTTTGTGTCATCACATTTATGACTGTCAACTGATGTCAGTATCTGTAGCTACATGAATCTCTTTATGAAATAAGATACTGTCAACAGATGTCAGTATCTGTAGCTACATGAATCTCTTTATGAAATAAGATACTGTCAACTGATGTCAGTATCTGTAGCTACATGAATCTCTTTATGAAATAAGATACTGTCAACTGATGTCAGTATCTGTAGCTACATGAATCTCTTTATGAAATAAGATACTGTCAACAGATGTCAGTATCTGTAGCTACATGTATCTCTTTATGAAATAAGATACTGTCAACTGATGTCAGTATCTGTAGCTACATGTATCACTTTATGAAATAAGATACTGTCAACTGATGTCAGTATCTGTAGCTACATGTATCTCTTTATGAAATAAGATACTGTCAACAGATGTCAGTACCTGTAGCTACATGTATCTCTTTATGAAATAAGATATTGTCAACTGATGTCAGTATCTGTAGCTACATGTATCTCTTCATGGAATAAAAATGAATCTACTGCTGAATCTATATTACCGTATTGTAGAATTCTGATACAAATTGCATCAAGCACATTTCTTGTTCCAACAAAATACAGTCAGGAAGGGAAACCTGATAGTTTAAAGTACACTATGTTTTATGGATTAGAACCCCGACTGTCTTAGTGAATACCAGCCATTGCAACACCTAGAGCAAAAAGATCTATCGCTACTTTATTCTACCCCGCAGGGTTTTGTCTAAATAATCAATAAATAATTTACGTCAACATCCTGTTAGTGACAATGAAGACTGAGGAAGGTATTCAGAATGCCTACACTGGAGGCTGACAGAGGTATTCAGAATGCCTACACTGGAGGATGAGGGAGGTATCCAGAATGCCCACACTGGAGGCTGACAGAGGTATTCAGAATGCCTACACTGGAGGATGAGGAAGGTATTCAGAATGCCTACACTGGAGGCTGACAGAGGTATTCAGAATGCCTACACTGGAGGATGAGGGAGGTATCCAGAATGCCCACACTGGAGGCTGACAGAGGTATTCAGAAAGCCCACACTGGAGGCTGACAGAGGTATTCAGAATGCCCACACTGAAGACTGAGGGAGGTATTCAGAATACCCTCACTGGAGGTTGAGGGAGGTATTCAGAATGCCCACACTGGAGGCTGACAGAGGTATTCAGAATGCCTACACTGGAGGATGAGGAAGGTATTCAGAATGCCTACACTGGAGGCTGACAGAGGTATTCAGAATGCCTACACTGGAGGATGAGGGAGGTATCCAGAATGCCCACACTGGAGGCTGACAGAGGTATTCAGAAAGCCCACACTGGAGGCTGACAGAGGTATTCAGAATGCCCACACTGAAGACTGAGGGAGGTATTCAGAATACCCTCACTGGAGGTTGAGGGAGGTATTCAGAATGCCCACACTGAAAACTGAGGGAGGTATTCAGAATGTCCACATGGGAGGCTGAGGAAGGTATTCAGAATGCCTACACTGGAGGCTGACAGAGGTATTCAGAATGCCTACACTGGAGGCTGACAGAGGTATTCAGAATGCCTACACTGGAGGATGAGGGAGGTATCCAGAATGCCCACACTGGAGGCTGACGGAAGTATTCAGAATGCCCACATCGGAGGCTGACAGAGGTATTCAGAATGCCCACACTGGAGGCTGAGGAAGGTATTCAGAATGCCTACACTGGAGGCTGACAGAGGTATTCAGAATGCCTACACTGGAGGCTGACAGAGCTATTCAGAATGCCTATACTGGAGGATGAGGGAGGTATCCAAAATGCCCACAATGGAGGCTGACGGAAGTATTCAGAATGCCCACACTGGAGGCTGACAGAGGTATTCAGAATGCCCACACTGGAGGATGAGGAAGGTATTCAGAATGCCTACACTGGAGGCTGACAGAGGTATTCAGAATGCCTACACTGGAGGATGAGGGAGGTATCCAGAATGCCCACACTGGAGGCTGACGGAAGTATTCAGAATGCCCACAATGGAGGCTGACAGAGGTATTCAGAATGCCCACACTGGAGGCTGACAGAGTGATTCAGAATGCCCACACTGGAGGCTGACAGAGGTATTCAGAATGCCCACACTGAAAACTGAGGGAGGTATTCAGAATGCCCTCACTGGAGGTAGAGGGAGGTATTCAGAATGCCCACACTGAAGACTGAGGGAGGTATTCAGAATGCCCACACTGGAGGCTGACGGAGGTATCCAGAATGCCCACACTGGAGGTTGAGGAAGGTATTCAGAATGCCTGCACTGGAGGATGAGGAAGGTATCCAGAATGCCCACACTGGAGGCTTAGGGAGGTATTCAGAATGCCCACACTGGAGGCTGACGTAGGTATTCAGAATGCCCACACTGCAGGTTGAGGAAGGTATTCAGAATGCCTGCACTGGAGAATGAGGAAGGTATCCAGAATGCCCACACTGGAGGCTGAGGGAGGTATTCAGAATTCCCATAATGGATGTTGAGGAGGGCATTCAGAATGCCCATACTGGAGGCTGACATAGGTATTCAGAATACCCTCACTTGAGGCTGAGGGAGGTATTCAGAATGCCCACACTGAAGACTGAGGGAGGTATTCAGAATGCCCACACTGGAGGCTGATTGAGGTATCCAGAATGGCCACACTGGAGTTTGAGGGAGGTATTCAGAATGCCTACACTGGAGGATGAGGAAGGTATCCAGAATGCCCACACTGGAGGTTGAGGGAGGTATTCAGAATGCCTACACTGGAGGATGAGGAAAGTATCCAGAATACCCACACTGGAGGCTGAGGGAGGTATTCAGAATGCCCACACTGGTGACTGAGGGAGGTACTCAGAATGCCCACATTGGAGGTTGAGGGAGGTATTCAGAATGCCTACACTGGAGCCTGAGGAAGGTATTCAGAATGCCCACACTGGAGGTTGAAGGAGGTATTCAGAATGCCTACAATGGAGGCTGAGGAGGTATTCAGGATGCCTACACTGGAGGTTGAGGGAGGTATTCAGAATGGCCACACTGGAGGCTGAATGAGGTATTCTGATTGATCTCACTGGAGGTTGAGGGAGGTATTCAGAATGCCCACACTGAAGACTGAGGGAGGTATTCAGAATGCCCACACTGGAGGCTGAGGGAGGTATTCAGAATGCCCACACTGGAGGTTGAGGAAGGTATTCAGAATGCCTACACTGGAGGCTGAGGGAGGTATTCAGAATGCCCACAATGGATGTTGAGGAAGGCATTCAGAATGCCCATACTGGAGGCTGACGTAGGTATTCAGAATGCCCACACTGGAGGTTGAGGGAGGTATCGTGAATGCCCACATTGGAGGCTGACGGAGGTATTCAGAATGCCCACACTGGAGACTGAGGAAGGTACTCAGAATGCCCACACTGGAGGTTGAAGGAGGTATTCAGAATGCCCAAACTGGAGGCTGAAAGTGGTATTAAGAATGCCCACACTGGAGACTGAGGGAGGTATTCAGTATGCCCACATTGGAAGTTGAGAGAGGTATTCAGAATGCCCACATTGGAGGCTGAGGAAGGTACTCAGAATGCCCACACTGGAGGCTGAAAGTGGTATTAAGCATGCCCACATTGGAGATTGAGGGAGGTACTCAGAATGCCCACATTGGAGACAGAGGGAGGTACTCAGAATGCCCACATTGGAGACTGAGGAAGGTACTCAGAATGCCCACACTGGAGGTCGAAGGAGGTATTCAGAATGCCCACACTGGAGGCTGAAAGTGGTATTAAGAATGCCCACACTGGAAACTGAGGGAGGTGCTCAGAATGTCCACACTGGAGGTTGGGGGAGGTATTCAGAATGCCCACATTGGAGGCTGACGGAGGTATTCAGAATGCCCACATTGGAGGCTGACGGAGGTATTCAGAATGCCCACACTGGAGACTGAGGGAGGTGCTCAGAATGCCCACACTGGAGGTTGGGGGAGGTATTCAGAATGCCCACATTGGAGGCTGACGGAGGTATTCAGAATGCCCACACTGGAGACTGAGGAAGGTACTCAGAATGCCCACACTGGAGGTTGAGGGAGATATTCAGAATGCCCACACTGGAGACTGAAGGAGATATTCAGAATGCCTACACTGGAGACTGAAGGAGATATTCAGAATGCCTACACTGGAGACTGAAGGAGATATTCAGAATGCTTCCCAACTGGAGAGTGAAGGAGGTTTCACAACGGTTCAAGTCTGACAGTCAAAAGGAGGTATTTAGAATTGTCCAAATAAGGGCTGGGGGAGATTGTCACAACGGTTAATGTCTGGAAAGCTTTGGGAGGTATTTGGAATGGTCCATGTGGGGCGAAGGGAGGTAATTTAAAATGTTCAGTTTGAGGCAGGCTGAGGGAAGTAAATACAATTGTTCAAGTCGAGGCAGATTGAGGGAGGTAATTAGAACGGTCCAAGTTATCAGCTGTCTATTGATCTTTTAACAATCACTTATTTGATCGACAGGAAGCATTATCAGTGTATGATTTATTTATTAAACACACAAACACACACACACCAGTGGTAAGTGGAATATAGGACAACCACAGCAGGTTGAAATACATATATTTTAGGTATTATATAAATATGTCTAGGAGTCGGAGCGTTGAAAACATTCTACATCATGAATTTAGTCAGCCACATTAATGTTCAACAAAGAGACAAAACATCGCAGTCGGTCGATGTTAGGAATGCTACCTATTGTTACGGAGGCTGTGACGAATGTCAAAAAAATTGTTTAAAGGATATTATTTATTGTTGTCATGGATATTGGGTTTTTCTGTCGATTTCGTTTTTTCTGATGTCGGGGATATTGTTCCTTGTTGTCATGGATATTGGGTTTTTCTGTCGATTTCGTTTTTTCTGATGTCGGGGATATTGTTCCTTGTTGTCATTGGATATTGTTTCTAGTTGATACGGAAATTACTTTGTTTGTCAGTGAGAATGTTCCTCTTTGGATGTGTATACGCTTTTTCTGATACACCGTTGCTAAATGCATCGCGTGGTCACTGCCCGTAAATAAATGAATTGATGAATAATTAATTTCTGTAGTAAGTAAAAACTTATTAAATTCTTGTTTGTGAGTGACATAGCCTTAGGTGTAATAGACATAGGTAAAGGTGAGGAATGTGAGAATCATAGATACAGATATCTGTTATCTAACTCTAAAGAGGACACACAGGAAAACCTATTGAGAACTGTTACACGAGAACAAAGACAATTTAATATTTCTATGAATTAAACAATTCGGTCCCTAACGCTACACGTTTCTTATCAAATTATTTCTTTCCCCGAACCTACTGACAGGACCAAAACGGATACACCGATAACCACTGATAGGAAAAGGACGGATGGACAGACTGACGATAAATTGATACTGTTACTGGATGTAGGACGGACAGACTGACGATAAATTTATACTGTTGCTGGATATAGGACGGACAGACTGACGATAAATTGATACTGTATCTGGATGTAGGACGGATGGACTGACGAAAAATTGATACTGTAACTGGATGAAGGATGGATGGACTGACGATATATTGATAATGTTATTGGATGTAAGACGGATGGACTGACCATTAATTTATACTGACGGATGGACTGACGATAAATTTATACTGTTACTGGATGTAGGGCGGACAGACTGACGATAAATTTATACTGTAAATTAATGTAGGACGGATGGACTGACGATAAATTGATACTGTTACTGGACGTAGGACGGATAGACTGACGATGAATTTATACTGTTATTGGATGTAGGACGGATGGACTGACGATAAATTTATACTGACGGATGGACTGACGATAAATTTATACTGTTACTGGATGTAGGACGGATGGACTGACGATAAATTGATAACGTTACTGAATGTAGGACGGATGGACTGGCGATAAACTGATACTGCGACTACTGTTGACTAAACACAGAAAGCTCATTCATCCCCTCTTTGTCTGTGATATTAAATAGGCGACAATCATGCCAACAAAATGACTGAATCAATGATGCTGTAACACCAAACTTATATAAGTCGTCATGGAATAAATGTATAGAGACATTGATAAGGACGCTCGGGACATCATCTCTTCATAGTAATTGTATATAATACACATCTACCTAATCCTATATTGTTACATTACTATAACGTGAGTTGCAGCCAGTAAAGATACATATTAATCGATGTATAAGTGTTTTCTCTTTCTGAAGATAAAAACATCTGACATTACTGCAGTCATGGCGACCAACGATACCCACGGTTTCTACCCGGACAGTAAAATCAATTCCTAACGGAGGCAGAACGGGATTTTGTTTTCAATATTCGTGTCGACAGTCAGCTCAATAACTTATGCTTGTGTTATAAACCGAATGGCGTTCATTTCAGTATAAACCGAATGGCGTTCACATCAGTATAAACCGAATGGCGTTCATATCAGTATAAACTGTATGGCGTTCATATCAGTATACACGCTGTAGAAAGTTGTTACATAGTAATGTTGTAATATCTGTTTTAATGCAGTGATGTCTATACTGGATATACAAAGACTACGTAAGGTGCAAGGAGAGATAAAACGACAACAATATGTGCACGTGTTTTGGTGGCCGCGACAGCTCGGTCTGTTTAGAGTCTTAGTCTGCTTCAGGTGAAGGAGTTATTCTGAGATGACGCCATCCTAATACAAAGATACCCTGCATATTGACATTGGCTGTTTACGTGACGATTAACCTAACAAACAATCGTGTGGTATTGATGGTGTCGTGTGTTATTAGTACCAGGTGTTGTGTTTAGTGTCAGGTGTTGTGTTTAGTGTTAGGTGTTGTGTTTAGTGTCAGGTGCTGTGTTTAGTACCAGGTGTTGTGTTTAGTGTCAGGTGTTGTGTTTAGTGTTAGGTGTTGTGTTTAGTGTCAGGTGCTTTGTTTAGTACCAGGTGTTGTGTTTAGTGTCAGGTGTTGTGTTTAGTGTCAGGTGTTGTGTTTAGTACCAGGTGTTGTGTTTAGTGTTAGGTGTTGTGTTTAGTGTCAGGTGTTGTGTTTAGTGTCAGGTGTTGTGTTTAGTGTCAGGTGTTGTGTTTAGTACCAGGTGTTGTGTTTAATGTCAGGTGTTGTGTTCAGTGTCAGGTGTTGTGTTTAGTACCAGGTGTTGTGTTTAGTGTCAGGTGTTGTGTTTAGCACCAGGTGTTCTGTTTAGTGTCAGGTGTTGTATTAAGTGTCAGGTGTTGTGTTTAGTATCAGGTGTTGTGTTTAGTACCAGGTGTTGTGTTTAGTGTTAGGTGCTGTGTTAAATGTCATGTGTTGTGTTTAGTGTCATGTGTTGTGTTTAGTGCTAGGTGTTGTGTTTAGTGTCATGTGTTGTGTTTAGTGCTAGGTGTTGTGTTTAGTGTCATGTGTTGTGTTTAGTGTCATGTGTTGTGTTTAGTGTTATGTGTTGTGTTTAGTGTCATGTGTTGTGTTTAGTGCTAGGTGTTGTGTTTAGTGTCATGTGTTGTGTTTAGTGTCATGTGTTGTGTTTAGTGCTAGGTGTTGTGTTTAGTGTCATGTGTTGTGTTTAGTGCTAGGTGTTGTGTTTAGTGTCATGTGTTGTGTTTAGTGTCATGTGTTGTGTTTAGTGTCGTGTGCTGTGTTTAGTGTAAGGTGTTGTGTTTAGTGTCGTTTTTTTCCTGTAGATGTCGTTTGTTTTCCATACTATAACAATTTATAAATAAAGTCTGAAGGTTTTCATGAATTGATTGCTTACTAAAAGTGTTAATAATTTATATTTCAAGTCTTACTACGAAATGCCTGTTTGGTGACCTATTTTTGGATGAAACAAATGTATATTGTGTGCTTGAAACTATAAGAAAAGGTGGGCGTGGCTACTTACTCCGAGGTGTCAATCTTGTCGAAGTCCACGTACACCTTGAGGAACGCCCCTCCGACTAAAAATCCCACCCCTGGGCCCACGATGTTCATGGCATGATATATACCTGTAAACAACAGAAACATTTTAACATTGACAAATATTATTGTGTAGACCAAATATAAGAATAATACAGTAACGCCAGTTATGGTGACCCAGAGTTCGCTCCCCTTTCAATACTGAGCTTCACACAGAGAACCACTTTTTCTTCTTTAACTTGTTTGTTTTCTAGAGGAATCATCTTACTCTAACGATGATTAAATAAGGCAGAGAAAGTAAATTCTTGATCAGCATTGAAATCTACTGTTTACGACTGCTTGAATTGTAGCGAAAAGTCCACGTCACAACTTGTTATAATCAGTTAATTCTTGTTATTTTTTGTACATTGTAGTGTACTGTGGGGTATCTAAGTGAAACAGAACAAATCGTCATCAACATCAGATTTATTTGCATATTGAACTGAAAATACCGATTGGTTTCAATGTACGAAATGTAACATGATACTGATTGGTCAATATTGAAATAACTATGCAATGGTTGTGATTCTGTGGTTCTGATTGGTCAATAAATAATTATTCTATGAATGTGGGATAAGAAAGCATCAATCTGTGATTGGTCAATAAATAATTATTCTATGAATGTGGGATAAGAAAGCATCAGTCTGATTGGTCAACGTTGAAAAAAATAGCCACGCTTTTGGCATAAGAACATATATGAAGTAACATATATATTTTCGACCCGAAAAAAATTATTCGAATCATGTAATTATTTTGAAAAATGGTAGCCTAGAGGGCAGCATTATAGACAGGTCACATGACTGACTTACTCATAAAGATAAAAATTCGGGGTCAAAATTGTCTGGACATGGAGGGGTGAGGGATGAAGAAATAAGAGTCCAGGCGTAATTCATTTCTACACAGTGGGGAGGGAAGGATATATGTTGTACTGGGTATGACTCATTTGAATGTGAGAGGTGCGGATAGAAGATAATTGATCTCAACGATTGACTGACAATCTGTGCCAAAACGTTGTCAGAGTGGAGAGATATATGAAACGTACTTTAGATTACTGAATTTTGCCGTGTATACCACCAAACTTAAAGGCGATTAATATCCATATATCTTTTGGAAACCAAATCTGATTAATATGCTTGATGTGTCTCACTGCATCACTCGATGACCTTTCAACTACTGCAATATGACAAAAAACACTAGGTCGGTTCCATACGGCTATGCGGCAGTGCATGGATTGACATGACAGGCGAACATCGAAACAAAATATTCATCAGACAAGAATTTGGTGAATTATTATCCGTCTTTAACATGCTAGAATAACACAATACAATACCTTCCTTACTATTGCTTATCTACAGAGATATGAACAATAAGCACGACACTTCATGATTAAATCATACATGCCGGAGAATTAAGACATCCTGTAATACTGTAAAAGTATAGCTCTCTACTCTCAGTGTTTGTATATACACGAGGCTGAATGGTTTTTTCATCGATTATCATTTATTATACTGTTAAACCTAACAGTAAAAATGCATGACATTATTCCCATCTTCTATACAGGCAACACGAACATAACTCTTACAGTTAGCGAATTACGTAAATCTACCGATGTCTTACAATCTCTGTGTACCGGTGTCCTATAGAATTTTATCCCAATGAAATACTCATCCAAATAGGTATTACATGGAGTGGAAAATTTTTATGACACCGGCATAGAAGCCTGTAAGTGTTCCTGTTAAGTACAAATGCACTGATATACTTTTACACGAGAGTACAGACACTATTTCCGTATATCTAGGTCACCTTGTAAAATGAGAATGGTTTAATGACACACGTTTAAACATAACATCATATTTTACAGGGGTGTCTTTAAACAAATTTCCATGAACGATAAATCATTATATATACATTCCCAATCATATAAAATTACCATTAAGCATCACCTATATATCCAGCCTAACAATCATCTGTTACTTATTGTGTTCTCTTTTATATGTCACTAGCGGTATATGACCTGGAGCGTTTTATCATTGGCTGCACCGGTCAGACATCGATTGTGATGTCATAATATAGAAAATAACTTTATAACGTGAATTGAATAGGACGCAACATAATGGCGGCCTAACTTTGAGTTTGTTCTCTTTATTTGACTTCAAAATCTATCAAAATGCATTTTCTCTAAGTTATAGGTTAAAGAATTACCTTAAATTTGTTTTCATTTCTTATGGAATTTTATGAAAAACGTCTCAAAATATACTTACTGGTAAAATTTTACACTTACTGATAAAATATTACACTTACTGGTAGAAATATTACACTTACTGGTAGAAATATTACACTTAGTGGTAGAAATATTACACTTACTGGTAAAATATTACACTTACTGGTAGAAATATTACACTTACTGGTAGAAATTTTACACTTACTGATAAAATATTACACTTACTGGTAGAAATATTACACTTACTGGTAGAAATATTACACTTACTGGTAAAATATTACACTTACTGGTAGAAATATTACACTTACTGGTAGAAATATTACACTTACTGGTAAAATATTACACTTACTTGTAAAAATATTACACTTACTGGTAAAATATTACACTTACTGGTAGAAATATTACACTTACTGGTAGAAATATTACACTTACTGGTAGAAATATTACACTTACTGATAAAATATTACACTTACTAGTTGAAATATCACACTTACTGGTAGAAATATTACACTTACTGATAAAATATTACACTTACTGGTAAAATATTACACTAACTGGTAGAAATATTACACTTACTGGTAGAAATATTACACTTACTGGTAAAATATTACACTTACTGATCAAATATTACACTTACTGGTAAAATATTACACTAACAAGTAGAAATATTACACTTACTGGTAGAAATATTACACTTACTGGTAGAAATATTACACTTACTGATAAAATATTACACTTACTGGTAAAATATTACACTAACTGGTAGAAATATTACACTTACTGGTAGAAATATTACACTTACTGGTAGAAATATTACACTTACTGGTAAAATATTACACTTACTGGTAAAATATTACACTTACTGGTAGATATATTACACTTACTGGTAAAATATTACACTTACTGGAAATATTACTCTTACTGGTAGAAATATTACACTTACTGGTAAAATATTACACTAACTGGTAGAAATATTACACTTACTGGTAAAATATAAAACTTCCTGGTAGAAATATTACACCTACTGGTAGAAATATTACACTTACTGGTAGAAAATTACACTTACTGGTAAAATATTACACTTACTGGTAGATATATTACACTTACTGGTAGAAATATTTCACTTACTGGTTAAATATTACACTTACTGGTAAAATATTACACTTACTGGTAAAATATTACACTAATTGGTAAAATATTACACTTACTGGTAGAACTATTACACTTAAAATATTACACTTACTGGTAAAATATAAAACTTCCTGGTAGAAATATTACACCTACTGGTAGAAATATTACACTTACTGGTAGAAAATTACACTAACTGGTAAAATATTACACTTACTGGTAGATATATTACACTTACTGGTAAAATATTACACTTACTGGAAATATTGCACTTACTGGTAGAAATATTACACTTACTGGTAAAATATTACACTTACTGGTAAAATATTACACTTACTGGTAGAACTATTACACTTACTGGTAAAATATTACACTTACTGGTAAAATATTACACTAATTGGTAAAATATTACACTTCCTGGTTTAAATATTACACTTACTGGTAAAATATTACACTTACTGGTAGATATATTACACTTACTGGTAGAAATATTACACTTACTGGTAAAATATTACACTTACTGGTAAAATATTACACTAATTGGTAAAATATTACACTTACTGGTAGAAATATTACACTTACTGGTAGATATATTACACTTACTGGTAAAATATAAAACTTCCTGGTAGAAATATTACACCTACTGGTAGAAATATTACACTTACTGGTAGAAAATTACACTAACTGGTAAAATATTACACTTACTGGTAGATATATTACACTTACTGGTAAAATATTACACTTACTGGAAATATTGCACTTACTGGTAGAAATATTACACTTACTGGTAAAATATTACACTTACTGGTAAAATATTACACTAACTGGTAGAAATATTACACTTACTGGTAGATATATTACACTTACTGGTAAAATATTACACTTACTGGAAATATTACACTTACTGGTAGAAATATTACACTTACTGGTAGAAATATTACACTTACTGATAAAATATTGCACTTACTGGTAGAAATATTACACTTACTGGTAAAATATAAAACTTCCTGGTAGAAATATTACACCTACTGGTAGAAATATTACACTTACTGGTAGAAAATTACACTAACTGGTAAAATATTACACTTACTGGTAGATATATTACACTTACTGGTAAAATATTACACTTACTGGAAATATTACACTTACTGGTAGAAATATTACACTAACTGGTAAAATATTACACTTACTGGTAAAATATTACACTTACTGGTAGAAATATTACACTTACTGGTAAAATATTACACTTACTGGTAAAATATTACATTTACTGGTAGAAATATTACACTTACTGGTAAAATATTACACTTACTGGAAATATTACACTTACTGGTAAAATATTACACTAACTGGTAGAAATATTACACTTACTGGTAGAAATATTACACTTACTGGTAAAATATTACACTTACTGGTAAAAATATTACACTTACTGGTAAAATATTACACTTAATGGTAGAAATATTACACTTCCTGGTAAAATATTACACTTACTGGTAAAATATTACACTTACTGGAAATATTACACTTACTGGTAAAAATATTACACTTACTGGTAGAAATATTACACTTACTGGTAGAAATATTACACTTACTGGTAAAGTATTACACTTACTGATAAAATATTACACTTACTGGTAAAAATATAAAAAAATATATATAAAAATAAAAATATATGGGGCAAGACCAACGAGGTCGGGTCATATACCAGTGAGAATTGATACGTTCTTGATGGTCACAACTTGTGATTAAGGAATGGAAGATATATCGGAGTACAAACCATACGATAGCGAAAGTGAAAGTGAAAGATCGAAATGAATACGTGAATTTATTTAATAAAACATTGGTTGCCGTGGCACAGAAAAAATTCACGTCCAATATTTTGATGCCTTGAAACAAGAAAACTGTAATACAATATACATAAATCCGCTTCTCTCGCAACCATGTTTGGTTTAATTGTGATTTTGATTTTAAGTTTAATCTATCGTGTGGGTCTTCTATAGCTAACTCTAATTTACCTAAAGGTGTTATTCTCTTGTGTCTTTTGTTCAATCTTTGGTTAATTTGTCCGTAAGCAGTCGTCGCCTACGGATATAAAACCTTGAATCATCAACTGTACAAGATATAAGTACAGAAGGGGGAAAAGTAGGACTGTCACTATCAAGAAAGGGAAATTTCCCGATATGATAGTTTTATTTAGTCCATTTTTACCTGTAAGTCTTCTACTCACCTAGGTATGTTGATGATGACTTAACCGGTACACTGTCATCGAGAAATGTAGGTCCCAGTGTAAACAGTGGTGAGCCTCCAGCTCCCATGATAAACATGGATACATAAAACATATATTTGTAATATGACAGACTTCCGGAAGTGCCACATTCCACCAAGGTTCCACCGGAAGTCGTACAGAGCATGCTCGAGTCATCTGTGCCCATTTTGTAATTGTCTGTAGTAAAATGAGGTAGACAGAAGAGGATGGTACCTATCCCAATAGTCAACATTCCCACACCGAGATATCGAGATTTCACACCCATTCCTCCGAAGTAGCTGACAGGCATCAGACAAAGGACGGAAGCAATGTCGTAAAAACTTGAGATCAGACCCGATTCCGTACTACTTAGCTGGAAACGTCGCTCCACACTCGAAATGATGACACTCGTAAATCCACCCACAATCATACCCTGAAAAGGCCAAACAAATATATAATTAATATTGATCCAATAGTGATCCAATATATAATTAGTATTGATCCAATATATAATTAGTATTGATCCAATATATAATTAATATTGATCCAATATAGAATTGATCCAATATATAATTAATATTGATCCAATATATAATTAATATTGATCCAATATATAATTAATATTGATCCAATATATAATTAGAATTGATCCAATATATAATTAGAACTGATCCAATATATAATTAGTATTGATCCAATATATAATTAGAATTGATCCAATATATAATTAGAATTGATCCAATATATAATTAGTATTGATCCAATATATAATTAGAATTGATCCAATATATAAATATATAATTAGTATTGATCCAATATATAATTAGAATTGATCCAATATATAATTAGTATTGATCCAATATATAATTAGTATTGATCCAATATATAATTAGTATTGATCCAATATATAATTAGTATTGATCCAATATATAATTAGTATTGATCCAATATATAATTAATATTGATCCAATATATAATTAATACTGATCCAATATATAATTAGAATTGATCCAATATATAATTAATATTGATCCAATATATAATTAGAATTGATCCAATACATAATTAGAATTGATCCAATATATAATTAGAATTGATCCAATATATAATTAATATTGATCCAATATATAATTAGTATTGTTCCAATATATAATTAGAATTGATCCAATATATAATTAGAATTGATCCAATATATAATTAGTATTGATCCAATATATAATTAATATTGATCCAATATATAATTAGAATTGATCCAATACATAATTAGAATTGATCCAATATATAATTAGAATTGATCCAATATATAATTAATATTGATCCAATATATAATTAGAATTGATCCAATATATAATTAATACTGATCCAATATATAATTAATATTGATCCAATATATAATTAGTAGTATTGATCCAATATATAATTAGTATTGATCCAATATATAATTAGTATTGATCCAATATATAATGCGTATCGATGATTTTGAATTAAGATAATATTTCTCCAAGTAAGGGATAGATTTGAGCAATAGATTTCTTGAGCTCATTAGTCTCAAAACAAATAAATCAACTCACATGTTTTCTTTCGATTTTATTAATGGGTCAAAGACATTGCGTAAGTGTAGAAGCAAGTGACTACACTCTTCCTGTTTATCAGAAAGATATATGAAAAAATACGAGTCATCTTAACCTGCGTTTTAACGTCACAAATAGGCAGTAACAATCCAGATAACGGTATCCCGATGGATATAATATGAAATTATAGTATTTGTTCAAAGAAAACAGAAATGGTTTAAAATACAGATGTGAAGAACTAAAAACAGACAAAATATCCCTCCTAATCTTCCTTTGATCGCTTTGTCGTCATTTCTCTGAATAAAGTATACTTTGGTAAATAGCTCCATTTCATACAAATTTAGAATATTGTCAATAGTGTCAAAACAATAGATTTGACTACAGCATTCAGCTGTTTCGTTTTTCTAGGACTCACTAGTGGTATTACACCATACAGCTGTTTCGTCCTTCTAGGACTCGTCAGTGATGATACACCACACAGCTGTTTCGTCCTTCTAGGACTCGTCAGTGATGATACATCATACAGCAGTTTCGTCCTTCTAGGACTCGTCAGTGATGATACGTCATACAGCTGTTTCGTCCTTCTAGGACTCGTCAGTGATTCTACATCATACAGCTGTTTCGTCCTTCTAGGATTCATCAGTGATGATACATCATACAGCTGTTTCGTCCTTCTAGGACTCGATGATACATCATACAGCTGTTTCGTCCTTCTAGGCCTCGTCAGTGATGCTACATCATACAGCTGTTTCGTCCTTCTAGGACTCGTCAGTGATTCTACATCATACAGCTGTTTCGTCCTTCTAGGACTCGTCAGTGATGCTACATCATACAGCTGTTTCGTCCTTCTAGGACTCGTCAGTGATGATACATCATACAGCTGTTTCGATACTAAGGACCTTAATTGTTGAAACCTAGGAGGCGACTGAGGTTTACATTAATGTAGTCCCATCATTCTTACTGAACTCTTGGACAGGTAGAAATAAAGAAATATTACTATATATATGGTGCCCTATATCTGATTTTCTTCCTTGTTCAACAGTCAGTTGAAACAATCAATATTTTCATATCGTTCTATTTCTTTGTCACGTAAATTGATAACTGATGTGTCGCCTTCATTGACTGATTTACAAGGTGTGGCATGGAACCGTATATGAATTGTACATCATAACCGTGGACCAACAAATCTATTTGAATTGGAGACAATCCCGTATTTGACAAATCCTTCCTGTATAACTAATCAGTTGACGTACTGAGTATGTTAGGTAAATATAACAACCACCGTCTTCTATATAAATGTCTCGTAGGTCGGTAAAATTGTTTGACGCTCCTAAAGCATCAAGTTCAGTCTTTATCCATTAGTTTATCAACTTACGTCACTGATAGTGTATGTCTGGGTCTAATTTTCACTTCGAACACCTACACGTTTAGGGTTTATATCAGTACTAGAAAATATGTTTCTTCAATAAACACCTATAAATAATACAAGTTTCAAGTAATGAACTAAGACACGTGACTGTGGACCAAGACACATGACTTCGAACCATGACACGTGACTTCGGACCTAGAAATGCGGTTTCGAATCGAGACTTTTTTTGAACCGAGACACGTGGCGTTAGCCCGAGACACGTGGCTTCAGACCGAGTTGTGAGTTTGAACCGTGACATATTGTTTTGGATCCAGACACATCGCTTAGAACCATGTCACGTGACTTTGGACCAAGACACGTGACTTTGAACCGAGACACTTGAGTTTGGACAGGGTCACGTGACTTTGAACCGAGACACATTAGCATGGACAGACAAACATTGCTCTGAACCGAGACACAAGTCTCTCGACCGAGGCATGTGGTTTTGAAGCCAGACACATAGCTACAGTGACACATGGCTTAAAACCGTGAAACGTGGCTTTGCACTGAGACAGTGACACATAGCCTTGGACTGAGACACATGATTTAAAATCGAGACACACGGCTTTGGACAAGATTTGTTGCTTACTTCAAAAGGCGAATTTTATACCCCTATCTATGACTGTTCTTATGGAATACCTAAATATTGCATCTACCATCCCAGGTATCTGTAATTTTTCATGACGTGTTTACACTAAAATACTGACTCACGCGCGTCCGAGGCGAATTAAGTTTCCACATTCTAGGACTATAGTTACTGTGTGTCCCTGACTACGTGTAGATACATCGTGATATTGTGATGGAGATGGTTATAAGTAATTCATGTATATCCCAACACAAACGATAAATATACACGGGAGATCAAAGCTCGCCAACAACAAAGCTGGACTCGAACATAAAACAGACACTGTCCGACAGGCAAAACACACGCAAAAGCTGAAAATAAAACAGATTTTTGTAATTACTAGGCTGTTGATGTCGTGACGAGATAGAATATTTCCATTTTATGTTTCACTTATGTAACCATACAGTTTAATTATACATGATGTGAAAGTTTTTAACATCAAGAAAATAATCAACAGAAATGGGTCGCTTGTGTGGTCAACCATAGAAAAACAATGTTCTATTTATAGTAACAGTGACCCTAACACATTTGACCTTTACATTTTAAACCAAACCCCTAATTTGATACATTGCCAAGGAAACGGAAACTGTCTCCCAAAGTTTTCTATTAATTGTAAGAATCCTATTACGATAAACCTTATCTAAAGCAAGCACATTAGGAAAGTAAACACATATTGGGCTGGAACAGTCCCCTGAAACTATTTCATCAATAATGGCGTTCATACTTCGTCTGTACGAAGTAGGACGACAAAGTTGGATAATTCGGACTGGTGTGGCCAAATGAAGCTACAATAATCACGTAGACCATCCTGATTCTCGATAAATTGATCGATAGGTTGAGGCTAAAATCGATAGAAATTTCTATTGATAGATCTACTACTGTGCCTAACTACCTAAAGTTTGTTCACGGTGAATAAGCTTTAAAGTCATTCATATATATTTTATCTCTTTCCATGCATAGTCATTTAAATTATTGATGGTCACGATGCCATATTACCGCGCAAGGATCTGTGTAATGCTTTCAGAGAATAGTCCGTGCTATGTATCCCAGGATCCTCTCGTCGTAACCACAACAAAATAAATGTTTACGTAACCTTTATTGAGTATTTGGTCCATACACCATCGAATCTCTTCACGCGGTAAAATGATGTCAACTGTATCCGGCAGCGGATCAGTGAAACACATCAAAATGTTAGCGTCAAATTAATTATTTTCTATCATATATATTCCATCAGGGATACAGATGTAAATATGTTAGAACTCGTGTACAGGATGAGTCCACTGTCGAGTAAATTATAAAATGTCTGTTTGATAAAGCAAAGTGTATACAATATGTGTTAACCATAAAATTTCTGTTTGATAAAGCAAAGCGTATAAAATATGTGTTAACTATAAAATGTCTGTTTGATAAAGCAAAGCGTATACAATATGTGTTAACTATAAAATGTCTGTTTGATAAAGCAAAGCGTATACAATATGTGTTAACTATAAAATGTCTGTTTGATAAAGCAAATCGTATACAATATATGTTAACTATAAAATGTCTGTTTGATAAAGCAAAGCGTATACAATATGTGTTAACTATAAAATGTCTGTTTGATAAAGCAAAGTGTATACAATATGTGTTAACTATAAAATGTCTGTTTGATAAAGCAAAGTGTATACAATATGTGTTAACTATAAAATGTCTGTTTGATAAAGCAAAGCGTATACAATATGTGTTAACTATAAAATGTCTGTTTGATAAAGCAAAGCGTATAAAATATGTGTTAACTATAAAATGTCTGTTTGATAAAGCAAAGCGTATACAATATGTGTTAACTATAAAAT